CCACCACAATGGCTTTTTCTTTCCCCTCTGTGATTTCAGCGGGCAAGAACGGTCCAAGGCTATGTTGCAAGCTTTTGTGAAGGTTTCCACAACGTTATCTAGCGATTGAGGAGTCTCTACTTCTTCAATAGGATATAGAGGAAGTAGATTTAGTAAATTGGTTCGATATCTACTCCAGTTGGTATTACGGTAATTCCGATAAGGTTTCTCAACTGGACATTGTAGATTTATATAGAATTGAATATAACGATGGTCAGAGAATGAGTGTTCATCAAGAACTCTCCAATCCTTAATCTCAAGATCTGTGTTTTCAGTAGTTAACGTAATATCTAAAACTTCTTTTCTGCCTGCAATAATAAAAGTAGGTTCTACTCCTGTATTGCATATATGAAGATTATAATCTAGAATAAAATCGAATAACGACTCACCTCTTTCATTTATGTCCGAGCTTCCCCAGATTGTGTGATGAGCATTTGCATCGGCTCCAATCACAACACCAGTCATTCTTTCTGCTGCTGTTATCACGAGCTGCTTAAGTATTCCCGGTGGTGGATTTCCTATATGGTCGTGGGCCGTGTATGATGACACCACCCATACGGTTTTGCCGTCGATTTCCAAACTCACTGCAGTATGGTCGTCATCACTAAAATTATTCAAAAGGAAACAATTAATGTACTTTTTAACTAACACACATGATCTAGGTCTACTTGAGTCTGTGTTGCTGATAAGTTTATAGTCATTTGTTCCGATTCCACAGATCCGGTTTTCCAGTATCCATGGTTTCTGAATCAGAACAATATCGGCTCCACCCTGTGCAAGGTGGATTAGAAGGTTTGCTGAAGCAGCTTTAGAGTGGTGGAGATTAATTTGAAGCACCTTCATCAGGTAATTGAACCTCTACCACCGTTTTATCGGCTTCGTCATCCGAGTCCAGGAGCCCACTCTCATCGAATAGGTTGCCCAGACTGGTCACCGACCCCGCATCCGATTTGTCTGCAGACATCAGAGACAGCGAGTCCACCTCCATTTGATCTGGCAGGTCTTCACTCTGTGTTTCCTCACAACTCTGCTGTCTTAGCATTGGTCCTTTAGCTGGTTCCTCCAGCAAGGGCTGATTAGACGTAATCTTCTCCGGTTCTTCCGTGGCATCGGTACGATAGACCTTGAGATTTAGTTTCTCGAAGCCATAGGAGATTACGTATTTAGCTTCGGAGAGCGGTTTCAATGACTCCGCATTTAATACAAGGACAGCTTGTCTGGTCGGTCCAAAAGGCTCCTCTAATTTTACCACCTTCCAATTTCCAGTTGGAAGGTTGGGGTTGCAGATCCTGATTATTTTCAGAATTTGCTCCGGGTCAGTTTGTTTAGTTGGTCTTAAAAGAAAACAAATTTGTTTTCCTTTGCAACATTGTTGCCATATGAAGTACAGGCAGTTAGCCTGACTGAAATTGAATATAAAAACGCGCGTAGGCGTTGTGAGATATCTTAATGCACAATATATTGATGCGCATACTTAAGATACAAAAATTGTGTAGAGTGCCGTTATAGTGATGTAGGGTGTTAACTTGTACGTTCTTACTATCATTTAATGCAAATAGCAAACTAATTGATAGAAATGATCAAACATGTTAGGATGTTACTGACAATAATGATATTCGTATGCTGTTGTCTTCATAACAAATATAATTTTTGACTTACCTTTTAATTCAGATCTTGTAAGGATTGTAAATACGGTTTTAGTAATTAATAAATAAAATAAAATTTGATTTATTCAACACAATTATTTTCTGAATTTTTTATATAAAAACCTGGCTAGATATATTCTTAAAAAACAAATTAAACACAATTATATGCAAAAGCAACAGCTTTTGAAACAGAAAAAGTCTACGGATATAATCTTTCTTAATATTTACATTTACCGTTAATTTAAATTCGCTTGCAATCATAAAAGTGTCATTAAATGATATTTAATTATTAGTTGACTTCCTAAAGAGTCTAAAAATTAATCATTTAATAATATTTTTTTATATAAGCAATAAATTTTTATAATATAAAATAAAAGACGTGAAATTAGTTTTAGTGTCGACATATAACTGTTAAATTTTGGAAAGATGACGTAAACCAAAGAAAAATTGCTGAAGATATTGGTCGTCAATATTCATCTGTGCAGAGAATTACAAATAACTTCAAAGAGACCAGTACTTACGTTTCTAAACCTCGCACTCGCCGCCCCTCAATTCTGTCAACTAGAGAAAGACGTAGCATAATCAACCAGGTGAAAGTAAATCCAAGAGTAATAGCCTTCAAACTAGCTGAACATATTGCCGAAATACTTGAAAACAAAATATATCCTGATACTGTGCTGAAAATTTTGAAGAAATGCATGTATTATACCCTGATTGCAGGAAAGAAGTCATACATATCCATATATAATAGAATAAAATGATTAAGCTTTGAAAGAAAGCATATAAATAAACTTATAAAGTTCTGAAAATGAGTTATTTTCTCCGATGAAAGTTAATTTTACATATTTTGAATCAAAGTTAGAAAACTTGTGAGGAGAAAATTACGCACAGCCTATGATAAACAAAACTCAATTTCAACAGTAAAACGTGGTGGTGAAGGCGTGATGATTTAGAGGTGTATAGCAAGTATTGGTGCTGTCGGACTTGAATTTGTACAAGATACAATGGAGAAATATGGCTATCTAAATATTCTAAAAACAAATTTGAAAGAAAATGTCAGAATGATAGGACTTGAGGCAACCTTTTTGCAATGACTCTAAGCATACAGCAGTCATCATACAGATTTGGACGCTGTACTATGCTCTCAGGTAACTTCAAACACTACCAGAATCACCAGACCTTAGTCCCATAGAGCATATGTGAGTTCATTTGAAAATAAGACTCGTCAGCACACGATTTCCAGTAAGGATATGTTAAAGACGCAAATAATATACATAACCCTATTAAATTTAAGATTTCTGTGAATTTTAATTGTATTAATGTAAATATAAAGAAACATCCGTAGACTTTTTCTGCTTCAAAAATTGCTACTTTTGCATATAACTGTGTTTAATTTTTTTTTAAAGAATAACTGTGAATTTTTTATTTATATTGGAAGTTTTTTGTTGTTAAAATAAATTAGGAAATAAAAATGTATTTGAGTAAAATTTAAAAAAATTATGCATAATTTAAAAAAAATTTTGTGAATATCCGTAGACTTTTTCTACTATGTGTATAGGACACGTGTCGTTACTGCTTCACATGGAGTTTGAGCGATCATACATAAGTTCTAGCCTGATAAACGTTTATTAATGAACTTTGTTCTAGAATTACATTAAAGTCTTTTAATAGTTTTTATATTTTGTTCATCATTTTAGACTGTCTACTCAGTTTGAATGTCAGCGGTCGCATTTATTAACAATAAGCTTATTTCCACGTAATTATTAAATTTTCAACACTACAAATTTTTCTTTAATATGTAATGATGGAAATTTTTGCTAATTTCCATCTCACATATTCGTAATCTGAACTTCTATCTGAGATAGAAATTGAGTAAATTTTATTTAATTTTTATAAATATGAATCAATATTTATCGCAGCCACTGCTGAGACGAAGTTTAACAAAACGCATTTAAAAGGTAAACACATGAACAAACACAAGTATTGGTAAAAGAGCTTATGCGCTGATAACTTTTTGCAAAAAAAAAAAAATTGTGCTTGCTGGTTATGTCATTGCCTTCGCCAACACTTCACAATATAGCAATTAATTGGTCTGTGTGATCAAATTTGTTTTATTAGTAATAAAATGCAAAATTCAAGAGAATATGTCTCATAAGTGTCCCAAATAATTATCTATCCCACGGTATATTTCTTATATTACCAAATTTACTTAATAGTGACTTCAATCGACACTTTCCAAATATTGGTTACAAAACTTAATTCTTTATAACTATTCTAGTTGCAGAACCATTAAAGTATCGAAATAATAAATATCCCACGATACTTTAACTTCCTCTAAACAAGCAAAATAAAATTTCCTAATTTCGCTATTCAGCATTCAAATTTCTAAATCATTAAAGCATTAAAACAATATTTTAATTCATAGCAATTTATATTACAAAATCTATTCCATTTGAGCATTTCTCAAACTGCATCAGCATTTAACATAAACAATGCAATGACCCTCATTTGTCAACAGGTTACCAAATTTTTATTGTTACCTTTCATCCACTTTCGCCAATTATGAATTGTAAGTAGTATATAAGATATTGATTTTGTATCTAGAATTTAGTCTTAAGATATCTTTAACCGAAGTTAAAGTTGATAACTAATATCTTGTAAAATAAAGATTTTTTGATACAACAATAAATAAATGCTTTGTAAAATAAATATTAACCAAAGTATATAATAAGTCTAGAAACAGGTCCATAGTATGGTCATGTCTCAACTATGGATGCTGGCTAATTGTAATCGGGCGGACGCAAGCAAAAGCGTCTTAAATTAAAGCTCAAATCCAAGGTGGAACAGCATATGCCGAGAGATGAATGGCCATGGATAGTTGGTCTTGAATATGAGAACTCTGGATACCTGTGGACCTCCAGTTTTAATTAGACTTCCCATGATAAACGGGCTATGTCGTGGGTGACCTCTCTTCCCGAATTTAAACTATTTTTTTTCATGGATAAAACAAATTTAAATAATACTATAGATGAGCTTGATGTCACTCTGACGGCATCACCATCAAATGATTCCTTTACGGAAACCTCACCTAGATACGTGCCAGCCACTGGGCTAGAAGCCACCATCCATCCTGATAGCGCAACTGTGTGCATCAAGATGGACCCGGATGGGCCACCGTCTTCTTCTCCGCTTGCGGAAACGGTGATCGTACCAAGTAAATCTGCGTCGCAATCTCTAGAAAGGCGGCAGGAAATAATTGAAGTCTTGTCTTCAAATTCCAAAGCTGCAGATTCTTGCGATTCCGACAACGACAGTGTGGTCTCTCAGAAGTCCGGTCTAACTGTCGTAGGCTCCAAAGTTAGTAACCTCACTTTGGAGTCTCCTAAATTTACTCACCTCAAAAGAACTGAGAAAAGAAGGTTCAAGGCGGCTATGGCATCAGGTCTTAGCAGAGCAGAGGCTCTAAAAATCGCCACGCAGTCCTCAACTGCGATTAAGCGGGGCAGATCGGAGGAGCAATCTCCCGGTTTGACTACCGCCAAAAAACCAAAGGTGGCTCATGAGGGGCTTACCAAGCCATCGTACAGCCTAGCTGTTAAAGGCGTACGGTTAGGCTTCACGTCAGCAGATCCAGCTGGCAATTCGCTCTCAACAGAGCAAATAACGAGTCTCCAGGAGGCGATTATTGATGTTGCTATAGAGCAACATTGTGACGATATGCAGCCGGAGTTCGAAGGGTGTTTACTTAGAACGGGGTGGCTACTTATCGTCTGCAGCGATGCAAAAACCGCGGAGTGGGTCAAGCGATTTTCTGGTCAC